TGAGCAATAAATGTCTATTGTTCCTAAGTCACCCAGTCTGTGGTATCTTGCTATAGCAGCCTAAATGGACTAAGACACCCTCTGCCTAAGTTTTGGCGTTGTCTCATTTATGTGGTCACCGTAGGACCTTGGTGTCCACATCGTTTGCTCTGCAAAGATCTGTGCTCTATTTGTGATCATATCTTTGGCCTACGCACCTATGGAATATCTTTCCATCCAATCTGATTGAGCAACATGTAAGGTACCCACTGCATCCCCTTGAGTTTAGTCTGAGTTCTGCAAAGCCTCCTGCTGAAAACTTTGGCTTCTACCACTGTGACTCAAATGTGTTCCTACCCATTAACCTCCAGTGGAAGAACAGAAATGGTAGGCAAGGTGATGGAGTTGCTATCTTGAGTTGCCATGTGGTGCAAAACCACTTTGAAGATAGTACATTTGGCATTTTATTTATTTTTTTATTTTTTATAGAGACTGGGTCTTTCTGTGTTGCCCAGGCTGGACTCAAACTCCTGGGCTCGAGCAATCCTCTTGCCTTAGCCTCCCAATTAGCTAGAACTATAGGTATGCACCACTGTGTCTGGCCACGGCTCTTTACTCTCCATTTACTTAATTCATGGCTAAATATCATGGTTCAAAATGGTGGATTTTTAAAAGAGATCTGATTTTTAGAACTGATAGAAACTGCATAGATGAATGTTTAGAGAACTCTTAAGATTTGATGAAAGACAAAGTAGATTGTAATCTTGCTCGTGTGGGAGGTGAAATCAAGACCAGAATATTAGACTATAAACATGTACAGAAATAGACTAGTTGGCAGAATGCTGGCATTGAGTAAACCTTCAGTAGGGATTGCGGGGTATGGGTGTGTACATGTGTGTGTGTGCACACACCAGTGCATGGCCGGGGGAAGGTTATTCATGTAGGTAACAGGGCAGAGCCTTGGGTTTTAGAACAAAAGATACATCCCACCCAGCTTCATAAAATGTTGGCCTACTCACCAGAGACAAAAGAAAAGGAAAACCAGAGACGTCTGCGGGTTCCAGACAGTTTTGGGAGTAGCTATTATAGGCTTTCTTAGCAAGCTGTGGAGCAGGTTGGCTGCACGAGCTGGGCGATTTGGACAAGGACCAGAGTCTATTGCTCTTGTCTTCTTGATTCTCCGGAATGCATGTGAGATGAAGTGGATCTCCTAAGTGCCTCTTGCTCTCAGCAACCTCTTGGCAGGGGACAGCGCCATGACTCTCAGCCCTTGGACGTGGCTGGAAGGCATACACAGGGAAGGCTGTTTGCATCTCATTTATGCTCTCATGTTTTTCTTTAATGCATTCACAGAGCTCCCTGTTTTCTAATATATTCCAAGGCAAGGCTGTAAATACCCAGGAGATGTGATTTTATCCCTCATAAGGCCCAAATACCAAAATACCTGTGATCAGGGCTTACCTTAATTAAATAGGTACCTTACAATTAAACCAATCTCAATTTGAGGGATGCATACCTTGGAGAGGAATTTAGTGCAATTTTTGTTCTGAACCCTTTATATTCTGATCAGCCTGAATTGTGTGAGCCTTGTCTTAATTACAACCTCAGGCAGAATAACTGCCCTGCAAGGGACCATCTGAAATACCCGGTTGAGTTAAAAATCAAGTCAAAATGCCATTCTGAGATATGACTACTTCCTGCTGTCTTTACAGAGAAACCATACTATATAGTCCCTCACTCCCCATGTGCCTATAGTCAGTGAAGTTATGGTTTTTATTTTATGTTTGGTAAAATTTTTTATTCCTTAGAATTTTTAGAATTTGTTTCATAGTGTCTCCTTTTTATTTGGGGAAAATTTAAAATCTATCTTATCTATCTATGAATAACAACAATTCACCCCTTCTTCAGTTTGTAAAATTCACATGGGAGATCTTTTATGTTTTTGGTCCCAAGGATGGACACTGGTTAAATTAACAGTGATTCTTTAATGAGGATGATTAAATGATTAATAAATAGTAAATAAATAATTAATAATTAGATGATACACATTTAATAGATTTATCTTCAAAAATCAACACTTCTTGTAATGATAAAAATCTCAAAGTTGCCAAATGTTTGAATATGACACACACACACACACACACACACACGCACATGTGCACACACGCACATGCACACACATATACATAGCTGCCCTGATCCTGCTCTCCAACTGTGCGCACAGATGCATGATCGTTTGCACAGCCACCATACATCCATAGTCACGGCTTAGAGCAATGGCTCTCGCCTGGGCGTGAGATCGGCCCCTGGGGAACATTTAGCAGTACCTAGAGACGCTTTTGATAGTTGAACCTGGGTCGGAGGTGCCGCGGTTGTCTCCTAAGTAGGGGCTGCAAAATACCGTACGATGCACAGGAGAGACCCCACAACAAAGAATTGTATAGTCCAAAATGTCAGTGGTGCTGAGATCGAGAAACCCTGGGCTTCAGGTTATATCACTTATGTGCAAATTAGCCAAATTTTTTAAAAAATGAGAAAATAAGAGAAAAAGAGATCCCTCAACTTGTGAATATTATGAATGCCTAACCTAGACCTAGTAAGTGTGCAGGTGCCCTTGGCCTCGTCCTCTTCAGTTGCAGCTGGTTCATAATCTCTCAGTGCCATGCCGGACCTTGGTGGGATGTGAGTTTAGACAGAGAAGGGACTGGACCTTACAACTCCAAGCATGAAGTCTAGGTGCGCCCCGGCCTGGTCAGTGTATCCAACACGCGACGTATAGATGGTCTCATCCTGGTTGGGTTCAAGAACTTAAGGGGGCAGCCAGAATTCCTCATGCAGTTCACTGTATAAGCCCTGGAAGAAAGCCACTAACTGGATGCTACATTTATTCAGCTCTGTGTTCTGAGGACTGTGTGGCATCTTGAGTGTACTATCGCATTAAATCTGAGGTATCTATTAACAGATCAGTAAAGTGAGGTCCGGAGCATTTAAATGACTTGCTCTAAGCCTACTCAACACCAGCAGTGAGCTGACACCAGAGCTGGCACCTTGTGTCCCTACACCCATAAGTCCCTTGGGCAGGTCTGTGTTGAGCATCCCAGCTTGTTGTATTTATGGAGTGGGCATCTTCTGCGCTGTGCACGCTCCGCCTGCGGCCTCACTTCCTGCTCTGCTCAGCTGCGTGAAGTGGGTGGGACGCCTCATTTCACCTTGAGTCCGTGGAGGTTGACTCCCGTCCCTGAGCTCGCAGAGAGATCATTCTGGGACCCAGGTTGGTCTGAATTAAAATTTAAAGGTGTCACCTGCTAGCCTGGGAAAGGCTCCACTAGTTGAGAAGCAGAAGGACTTTCAGGAAAAGCGAAGCACCCAAACATGTCATCACCTTGTCGTTGTGCTTGTCTGCCTCTTAATTATTCAGAAATTGGATCACTGTGTGGCAGACGTCCAAATGTTGTCGACTGTGGGATTCAAAGATAGAAGCAAACACATAAATCGGCCATTTGGTGAGATGCTATTTTTCACTTTCAACGTTACGATCCAGATTTTTAGTGCATTTCTGTTCAACTCTGATGAACTTTGCCCAAGATGTCATGCGTTCTGTAATTTCCCCTGATGGTATCATCATTCCATGATAAATCCAGCTCTGATACGTTTTATTAAAAAGAATTAGCTATGTGACATTCTGCTGAACTGATGACTTAAATGAAACACATGATTATATTCTAGTCCACAACGTTCTGAATAACCTACACAGTCCTTAGAGGCACACGTGCCTATTTTTGAGTTGGAGAATGCTCTGTTGAAAGGCATGAGAGGTTTTTGCAGCACCTAATGAAATGTTTTCCATCCCTGAAGGATCATTTACCATACTGTCCACGTTGCAAAGAACTCTTTACTGTCACATGGACAATGATTTACCTGGGGACAGTCATATCATCCATGTCCAGACAAATCAAGGTGGTGTTCTTTAAAAGTTGACTCTTTCCTGGTTAGGAAGGTACTCAAATGCACCGTCAGCTTTTTAAATAGGCTGCAGGGTGAAGAGTATACCCTCAAAGGCGTGCAGTGGCTTACTCCAAAGTCAAGATAATTGTATCAGCACTTTTAATTATGCAGGAAGTTTTCCAGTGAGCGTGAGTACTCCAGTGAGTACAGCATGTACTTAAAACGTACCAACTTCTCTAGTTTTGTACAACGAAGTGGAAATTTAGGGCGATGACGTATGTAGCCTAATTATATATATAATTGAGTAAACCAGTGAGGATTAGTGTCCACAGCTTACCTTCTTCCCATCAGGTGATGTTCCCTACCTAGTATCTGATAAATATCCACATGTCATGAATGCAGATAGCCCTGGATCCGTGCTTCCATTTTCTGCATACTGGAAAAAATTTTAGAGCTCCATGCACATCCCCTTAGGAAAAAGTGACAGTTTCCTTAAGCATTTGAGAGACAGTGTTTTGGGAGTGTCTACCTATTAACCAACCAACCTTGTAAGCAATAGTGAAATTGGGAAGTGTCTTAGACTCGTCTGTGTAACCCGTACAACCTTTGGGGGTTTGTGTGTTCATTCAACAAAGACTTGGTTGAGGGTTTCTAAATCCCAGGCATCGTTCCTTGTGATGGGGTGTACAACAAGAAGCAAGACAGGCGAGGTTCTTGCCAACGTTTCCTACATGGAGATGCCAGGGACAAGCTCAGGAATGAATAAGAATTTCTTTGAGGGAGGTTGCAGACTGCATGGGAGAGACGGCAAACGTTAGCTGGTCGTTGCATCGAATTCATTATCCTTATCTGCTTTCTCTTCCCCTTAGGCTGCCTTGGAGTTTTCATAAGAAAGGAATCGTGGTCACTGGAGGTGCTGGATGGTCACCGGTTCCTCGGAGCATTGCACCTGCTGGAATCCAGTTTCAGGATTAAGGGAGGGCTGCCCTCTCGCGATGGGAACCGCCTCACTTGCTCTTAACCTTGGATTCTGTCTATGTTCAGTCTGAAGGTCTCCCCTGGGTCTTTCGCTGTCCGCGGGCTCACCTCACGGCTTCGTCTCCTTGGAGTCCTGGCTTCTCTGGGACGGCGGCGGACGCGGGTGTGAACAATGTCGAGTCCCCGGGGACTGCTATGGCTGCCTCTGTTCTTTACTCCGGTCTGCATCATGCTAAATTCCAACGTCCTCCTGTGGATAACTGCCCTGGCCATCAAGTTCACCCTCATTGACAGCCAAGCCCAGTATCCAGTTGTCAACACCAACTACGGCAAAATACGGGGCCTGAGAACACCCTTGCCCAATGAGATTTTGGGTCCAGTGGAGCAATACTTGGGGGTCCCCTATGCCTCACCTCCCACTGGAGAGAGGCGGTTTCAGCCCCCGGAACCCCCTTCCTCGTGGACTGGGGTACGCAATGCGACTCAGTTTGCTGCTGTCTGCCCCCAACATCTAGATGAGAGGTCTTTACTGCACGACATGCTGCCCATCTGGTTCACTGCCAATTTGGATACTCTGATGACCTACGTTCAAGATCAAAACGAAGACTGCCTTTACCTAAACATCTACGTGCCCACGGAAGATGGTAAGTACCTCGTGCAAGCAGAAAATATTAAGAGTATCCACTTGCTCAGTCACAGAGGTTTGCCAGGAAGGTCCTATAACGTCCCATGCATGACGTTTTCTAATAACCGTTTATTCATTTGTTTTCTTTTCGTATTCCCAATGCAGTTCTTGGGGCAACTTGTTCCACTTGCATTTACTGAGCATCCACTGGATGGACACAGTTATAATTAATGACTTTAATTGTTTTCATCTGTTGCTCTCTGAACCTTGTTACAGTGTTTTATTTGCAGATGATAACCAGCATGAGCATATAGTGTTATATGTTATACCCGAGTCATCTGTAGAGGAATGAATCAATAGACAATAACAGAATTATTAATAAGTACTTTATTGTACTTGAGTTTGCAAACTCAAACATACAAGGAATGGTTCCTTCTGCCTCAATGGCATAAGAGATCAGCACCTTCTTGAGTCTTAAAAGAAAAAAAAAATGATTTTTTTTCATATCCAAGCAAGGGATAGTTCTGAAAATGGTTGGATTTCATTGTTTAGAGTCCACTTTGTTAACATAAATTTGAGCCCTTTTTGCTTCCAATATTCTCTGCAAACAGCAAAATATAGTCTAATGATTCTAGCTACGTTAGAGAATAATGTGCTTGCTTTTAAAAAATGGCCTTTTTCTACGCAACAGCAATGAAAATCTCTAAAGACAGTAACGCTCAATGTATTAATTCACTTCAATGCTAGTAAAATTTGGGTGGCTTCATTTTCGCGTAGATGTCAAATTCAGATTTTCTATGAAGACTAACCAAGTCATGCCACAACGATATCACATTTCTCAGCATTTTCCATAAGCCATTTTTAGACAAGGAGAAAGAAAAACAGAGAATGAAATCTTACTGGAATGAAAAGAGGTAATTTCTGGGAACTATGGCCATATCTACTATAGAAACTGGAGTGTATTCTTTGTATAGAGTGGGTATAAATCTTTATGTAGAGTGGGTATAAATTTTTTTTATGAAGAATTTTTTTTTTTTCCTCTGGGAGGCCGAGGCGGGCGGATTGTTTGAGCTCAGGAGTTCAAAACCACCCTGAGCAAGAGCGAGACCCCGTCTCTACTAAAAATACAAAGAAATTAATCAGACAACTAAAAATATATAGAAAAAATTAGCCGGGCATGGTGGCACATGCCTGTAGTCCCAGCTACTCGGGAGGCTGAGGCAGGAGGATCGCTTGAGCCCGGGAGTTTGAGGTTGCTGTGAGCTAGGATGACGCCACGGCACTCTAGCACAGGCAACACAGTGAGACTCTGTCTCACAAAAAAAAAGAATTTTTTTTCTCTCTCCCTCTTTCTTTTCTTTCCTTTTTTGGGGGAAGGGGGAACTTTAATCCCTGGAAAATGTTCTGCAGTTAAGAGTCTGCTGAAAATGTGAAATATACAGTTACAATAATTCAATGATCACAAACATTTTATTGCATCTGCCATGTTGTTCTTTCTCCATGGAAATGCAAAAAGAGAACCTAAGTAGAGTGTCATGAAAAACCAGACCAGGGCTGTGTGTCGTTGAGATTACAAAGAATGGCCCAGAGAAAGGAATTAAAGGGCTGTGCTTCATTCTATGAACAGTGTCTGGCGTAGAGCCCCTGTCGCTATGGTGACAGAACACTCAATTATCTTGCAAAGTCCAGGCCTGCATGCGACTCCAGAGGTTAGACCGACATTTGGGTGCTGCACTTCCACTGGTGCTCTGCGCTGTCTCGGTGCATAGCAGTCCTGGGTAGCAGCTTTGTATGTGCATCCGTGAATGGACAGGAGCTCCCAAACCAATTAGGGTCTTCATGGCAACAGCCACCTGGGTTGAGGTCTTTCTCATAATGAACTCGTAATGAACTATTCAAGTAAAAACTAAACAGAAGGAGAGCCCAGAAGGAGGAAAAAAAAAAAACTCTAAACAGGACAAAAGATTAAAATGGCTTTCATAATACATTCCATGTGCTGGTGTCTACAAGCTAGTGAGTTTATGGAGCTAACCTTGGCAGCCATGAATGCACTTCAGACAGAATGCCTCCTTAGGTTGGACATTGCACTGAATGGGACCACCCATGGGAAAAAAATCTACATCCTCCCTGATTAGAGAACCATATACGTGCAATTGTGTGGATGGAGACCACAAACAATTTGGCTATTTCATTGAGATTTGGTATTGAATTGGAGTTTGGGAAATAGAAAAATGTGAAAAATGCTACCTAATGAAAAAGCAGTCTAAACCTAATTATGAACCCGGTTCCACTTGTTTAGTTCTTTAGGCTTTACGGAGCAATGTGCACACAGGATCTTAACTAGGGAATCAGAGATCTAATAGGGGCTGAAAAGGTAGACTCTATCTGCCCATAATATGTAAACATTGGGATTTTGCTGGTGAGAGCTCAAAGCTGTATGCCTGGGTGTTTGCACAAACAACAGCTCACGGTGTACTGGTGCAGGAGTTGTGTGGGTGGTGGGGGCTTATTTGCTTGTTTGTTTTCTTGACTATATCAGCTTAAGAATCAATGTGAAGGTTTAGGTGTTTAATTATTGGTTATTCACTGAATGAACAAACTCCACTTCCACTCAACACGTTAAAATTACGGAGTCATGCTCATTCCCAGGCTGTGTCTTGATTCATACCAGCTCACTTATTTAACAGTATAGACAGCAATATTCGATTTTTGGAATACAAAATTCCACTCTGATATTCTGTTTTTTAAAATATTTGTCTTTCTGTCTTAATCAGGTTGGCTCAAATTTCTACCTTTGTACTTCCATAGAATGTGGAGATGTACTCAAAAACACAAAAACACAAAAATGTATTTCAGATACATATTTATCTTTAAATTTAAAGGTAACTTGCATGAGGAAGACTGTTAGAAATTTCTTTGTCGTATCATAGTTTTATGAAACATAAATTTTTTTCTGCAGAAAACAGAATAATTTTTATAGTTCCCTTTAAAGTAAACCATGTCCTGCTAAAGGTGAATTTTCTAGTATAAATTGGCATTATGATCTGCTAAACGTAGGCTTATTTCTTTATAACTTATTCCTACTTTACAGAGTTTGTTATTTAAGTTTTCATGGATTATTAATTTCCTTTGGTGTCTAGATGACAGACTAATTAATTAACTTGAATTGCATGTTTAACCTTTGGATAGCTCCTCAAATAAGGTCAAAATTAGTCAACCCAATCAGAAACTATAGTACGATTGTTGTTAACAAGGAAGGGATGGAGCTGGAATCTGCGTGGGCTGTGTGGGGTGGGGGGGAAGAGAGAGAAAGAAAGGGAGGCAGAGTATCTAGATTTGCACAATTAATAAAGTTAGAGATAGGAAACAAAAGCATCCTAGTTAGGGAACACGGAAGGTTCTGCCACTGCTTAGGGACAACCTGTTTGCAGGAAAACTTGATGGAAGCTCTAAATGGTTCAGCGGTGCCCGAAAGATGCATGGGATATGGAAAGGCTTCATAGAAAAAGGATCTAATGAATGGAAGATTTGAACATGGGAATCTATGTCCGTTGACCAGCTTGACACTGATAGTTGCAGTTGCAACTGCTCAGGTGTGAAGTGTGGAGCGGGAATAGCAGCTGTGCTTACCGTGGCTGTGTTTGGCCAGTGCCATGTCCCGAAAGTTCTCAACTCATCGTAGCTGCTGTTCCTAATGCTTTCTAGGATAGACAAACTCTAGGATAGACAAACTGATGGAATAACCACAGTGAGAGAAGGGCCTCCTTTTGCGTTGGATTCTGCAATAAAATGAGTTTGCTTCCCTTATAGACAACACTAGATCGAATCCAAGATGCAGACAGTTTATAGCATGGTTTTCATCATTGAACACCTCCCATCTTTTCTGAAAGCCTTACAGACTTTTCCACCGTTATGCATTCGTCAGGACTTCTTTGTTTCCAAATGATATAAAACTACCTAGTTTCAGTCAGGCTTTGAGGGGGAAAACATGGAAATTTATCTGAAGGGCTGTGGGATACCCAAAGTTATTGCAAAAGTAGAGAAAGCAGACTGGGAGAATGATGGGGAAGCAGCTAGACTTTGGAGGCGACTGAAAGCAGTGACTCGAAATCTTCATGTCTGGTTCTTTGCTTCTTTCTGGAAACGGGTCTGCTCTACTTGCTAGCATAAGAGGGCCCTCTGCAGTTGCTGCAAGTTGCATCCTGTTAATTCTCAACACCACCAATGAGGGGTAAAGGTTCTTAATTCCGTGTTAGAAATCCCATGGAAGAGTTTCGATGGATTCAGTCAATCCAGGAGCCCACACCTGGGCCAAAGTAAGAATAGACAAGATTGAGCTGCTCTTGGGTATACCAGATAGCTGTGATGGAGGGAAGGACAATTCTCAGAAGAGGGTATAGGCACAACTTCATTCCACAGCCAGAAATATTTTCGAGCACTTATGATGTGCCAGGCATGCTTTAGATGCTGAGATTGCGATGAATACACATATTGCTAATTTTGAGACATACGTGTTAGGGTGGAAAGCCTGGTACGTCAGGGTGGAGAAAGATTTCTCATGCAGAAATTAAGATATAAAAGTAAAAAGTTTATTTTATCCTTTAGAAGGACAGAGAGAATGAGAGAGAGGAAGAGGAGAGAAGGCAGGGTGAAGAGAGCAGGGAGACGGCACGGAATCCCAAAGAAAGAGAAGGGGGTGCCAGCAGCGAGGCCAAAGGCTTCGCTGATTTTAAGGGGGATTAAGAGAAAAAAAAAAACAGCGATGCTGTCAGTTGATAATAAAGCAGCAGCAGGTAGATAACAAAAACTGCAGGATGTCAAAGTGCAAGAGTTGGCTTCCTGCCTTTCCTTGGAGAAGGGGTTGTCACAGGAAATGTGACTCAGTTGTAGAGATATGGGTGAGGCTGGAGCTCATTCTGCTGTTTACTCAGGAACTCTGTAAGAGCAGATTCTCAAAAAAAACCAATTTGAAAGAGAGACATTTACATCTCTTTTCCATCCATTCAGCTCCTTTCAGCA